GGCCCGTCGCGATTCGCGATTACTCTGACGTTTCACCGCCCCCCGCTCGCCAGTTCCGCGCGTCAGACTGCGATTCAGCGCGCGCCCCGGCGAGGGCGACAAAACATGGCGCGGCTTGCAGGCGGGCCCCGCGACGACGCCCCAGGCTTGCCCACCCGCGGCCGCGACGCTTGCGAGCGCGAGGTCGGTGTCCGAGCCGCTCTTGGACTGAGCGGCTCGCTCGGCCGACGCAGCCGGCCGCGGGGGGCCGCGCCCGCCATCGAGGCCCCGCGGGCAGCGCGCGGGAATATTGCCATATGCGGCGGCTCTGCCCGCAGAGGCCCGCTGTTCCCGCCGCTCTGGCACCGGCGTGCTCTCCGCCTTGGCCGCCGCGTCTGCCGCGGCGTGCTCCGCGTCCGCGAGCTTTTTGGCTGCGTCCTTAACGCGCGCCTCCTGGGTTGAAGTCGCCTCCGCTGCCACTGCCGCTTGCAGCTCCGTCGGCGGCTGCGCTTGCCCGAGTTCCGCTGGCCGCCAGGTCGGGCTGCGCGGCGCTGGCTTTCTGGCTCGCCGCCTCGGAGCCGCCACGGCGCCTCCTCTGCAACTCTTTGGCCCAAGTAAGCCGACCAAAGACCTCTGCATTCTTGGGCGAAGTTTGGTCTTTGGTGACGCGGAGGGCCTGCTCGAGCTGCCGCTGCGCTGTCATCTCGGACCCTTCAGCGCCCAGGCTGTCCAGCGGCGCGAAGGGGGGCTCGCCCACTTCGCCTCGGACGGAGCTTCCTCCACCCCTGCCGCCTGCGCCACAGACAGGGGCGAGATGGCGCAGACCTCGGGCTCGATCGCCGCCGCAAGTGCCACCGTGCATGGACCTTATCGCTCGTCAGGTCGCGCGAGGTTCCCATTGCACCGCTGGGGCGCGGTGAGGGTTTTGTCGCGCTTCATCTGAGCGTCTTTGATTTCTCAGTCTGCTTCGCGAGCTGCCTCCACAGGAGTAGGGGGGCCCTCCCTGCATCTTGAGGACACCCGCCTGGGCGAGCATCGCAATCTTGAGCGTGGCGTCGCTGGCGATGGCGATGGCCGCTTCGAGCGCCGAGGTTGAGCGTTGCTGTCGCCGCTGCCCCCGTCAGCCGCTCGCACCAGCGTGCCCAGTGGCACGTGCCTCTGCTGCATCATTGTTTGTCTTCTCCGCGTCCTTATCCTTGCCCTGATAGAGTTTGACAGGCCGCCCGCGCTTCGTGCATTTGCGGCCGCACTCGATCAGGACTGCGTTCCATTCGCTCTTCCCGCCTCCTCGGTGCGTTGACCAGGATTGAGAAGCCGAAAAGACACCCATCGCTGTCGCAAGATACCAGTTGAAGCGCCCCTCTTCGCCGCCGAGAAAGGCACGAGTGAGCGCGCTGCCTCGGCGCCCCCAAGCGCCGCGTGAAGGCGGGGGCTTGACCCCGGCAGGAAATCTGTTCGGGCCAGAATGCCTTAGCGGGAAGGGGGGGGAGGGAAGGTGGGAGGGAGGGAGACGGGGGAGGGAGGGAGGGAGGAGGAGAAGGAGGAGGAAGAGGCGGAGGCAACAGGGTGGGTCGAGGAGGGGGGCGTAAATAACAACAGAGGAAAACAGGAGGAGCTCCACACAACAGAGATGCAGAGAGCGAGGTGACGTGTGCGAGAGAGAGAGAGAGAGAGAAAAAAACACACATATAACGAAAAAGAGAGAGAGAGAGAGAAAAAAAAAAAAGAGCGTGACAGAGAGAGAGAGAGAGAGAAAGAAAAAAAAAAGGAAAGAGGCAGAGAGCGAGAGAAGTACAGACGGAGAGAGAGATATAGTGATTTATAAAGAGAGAGAGAGAGAGAGAGAGAGACAGAGACAGAGACAGAGAGACATAGAGAGGGAGAGAGAGAGAGAGAAAGCGTCCCCGAGAGAAGAGAAGGAGGAGGAAAAATGCCGGCCAGGGATGGGCAGGCAGGTGGGGGTATGGCAATGAAAAGGAGGAAGAGGAGGAGGAGGAGGAGGAGGAGGAGGAGGAGGAGGAGGAGGAGGAGGAAGAGGAGGAAGAGGAGGATGAGGAGGAGGAGGAGGAGGAGGAGGCGGAGGCGGAGGCGGAGGCGGAGGAGAGGAGGAGGAGGAGGAGGAGGTGAAGGAGGAAGAGGAGGAGGAGGAGGAGGAGGAGGAGGAAAAGGAGGAGGAGCGAACAGGAGGAACGAGCAGGAGGAGCAAGCAGGAGGAGCAGGAGGAGCGAGCAGGAGCAGGCGAACGGGCCGCAACAGCGACACCGAATTCGCTTGTCGCCAAGACGGCCTGCCCCTCCCTGCACTCCCTGGAGCCCCTGGCGCTGCAGTTTGTCCACAATGGACGATTTTGCCTTGTTCCCAGTCCCAGGGCCATCACACTTCGATCTGGTCGGCTCGCAAGAGATGGTGGCCCATTCAAACGGGGGTCAGCCAGAGCGCCCGATCGTTCTTGCAGGATCTTGCATGGCCAGGGGTGCACTTACCAGGGCCTGCGTGCAGGATCTTGCAGAACCCTGCAGGATCCTGCAGGATCCTGCAGGATCTTGCAGGGTTCGGTAGGGTCCCCAATCTGGTTCGGAAACGGAGCTGAACGATTGGATCTACGGATCTGGTTGTCTTTTTGTCGCGATGGTGCGATTTGTTCGCAATGTGGGATATCAGAGTGTCTCTCTCCCTCTCTCTCTCTCTCTCTCTCTCTCTCTCTCTCTCTCTCTCTCTATATATATATATATATATATCCGTAAGGGCTTCGCCCCCTGCCGCCGGCCCCCTCTCTCGGAGAATGGGCCATGGAAGAGCTAAGTCATGAGGCCTTGGCGCTGTCGTGAAGCAGTATCGAAACTTCATGCGAAGCCGATTCGCAATCAGCAAAACCAACTGATCACAAGAGGGGTTACCACACCTGGCGATTGGTAAGACGTGTATGGTTTACGGGCTTGGTTACCACACCTTGCGATTAAAGGGCCGAGGGAGTTCTCGCAGTTTGGGTTACCACGCCTTGCGATGGATGTGCGTGAAGGGTGGCACCGAATTTCAGAAATGTGGCAAATCCCCTGTGTTTTTGGACCCTGACCCCGCGGATCTGCGTGAGGGGTGGCGCCGAATTTCAGAAATGTGGCAAATCCCCTGTGTTTTTGGACCCTGACCCCGCGGATCTGCGTGAGGGGTGGCACCGAATTTCAGAAATGTGGCAAATCCCGTGTTTTTGGACCCTGACCCCGCGGATCTGCGCGAGGGGTGGCACCGAATTTCAGAAATGTAGCAAATCCCATGTGTTTTTGGACCCTGACCCCGCGGATCTGCGTGAGGGGTGGCACCGAATTTCAGAAATGTGGCACATCCCATGTGTTTTTGGACCCTGACCCCGCGGATCTGCGTGAGGGGTGGCACCGAATTTCAGAAATGTGGCAAATCCCATGTGTTTTTGGACCCTGACCCCGCGGATCTGCGTGAGGGGTGGCACCGAATTTCAGAAATGTGGCAAATCCCATGTGTTTTTGGGCCCTGACCCCGCGGATCTGCGTGAGGGGTGGCACCGAATTTCAGAAATGTGGCACATCCCCTGTGTTTTTGGACCCTGACCCCGCGGATCTGCGTGAGGGGTGTCGATTTCGAGCCCCCCCAGCAATTCAGACAACGCGCCCAGGAGGTGCTAAATATCTGGTTTGGGCCTCCCCCCCCCCTCGCGCGGTCAATCAACTAGTTACAGTAACCAGCAAGAAGCAGAACTGTAACACTGGAAACTACAAGCTACAACTGGTACAGGAAACTGCGAATCCCGCTCCTCGCAGCCTGGTGGCCCCACAAGGGGGCCGGCGGATATATATGTATGTGTATATATATATACATACATACATACATACATACAGATACATATACATATATATATATATATATATATACATATATATACATATATATATATATATATATATATATATATATATATCATTATGTATATCTCTCTTTCCTCTGGGCCTTTCACCCTGCCCTGCCCTGGGGAGGCGAGGGGCGATCCGAAGCAGCAGCAGGGGCAGCCCGCTACAGGGCGCCTGAGCACGATCGGGCGTTCCGAAACGGGGGGCGATCCATAGAGGGGATGGTCTACTTTCATTTTGAACAGCCAAGCGATCCATGAGAAACGCCACGTTGCCACCCCCACTGGAATTGCTGTTCTGGGGCTGCTGTCGCTGCCAACGTTGAGGAGGAGATCGAGTGTTGCAGGGAAGGGGCTTAAAGAAACCCTAGAGGGGCCCCTGGGGCCCTGGAGGTGTACGACAGGTGCACCTTCTTCAACCCCCGTCTGTTGCTCCCCATGAGGCCGCGTCCAACACGGGGAGCCCGTGTATCCGCCCCCTCGCCCTCCCCCCCCCCGCGACGGTCTGCGCGCCGTCTTCGCTAATGTAATCGTCTCCACGGCCGCTCTCGATTCTGCTGCAGCCAACATGGCCGCTACTACCACATCGGCCACGATCGGGTTCCGCCTCCGCCGAAGCGCCCACCGACGCTTGATCCTTTCGGCCTCGCGTTGTGATCAGTGCTTCCGCTGCTGTCACTGCTGCCGTCATATACTGCGCACTCAAGGTTCGACCATGAAAGGGTGCAATGCAAGGTTGCAGGACCCGTGAGCTGAAGGACACATGATAAGGAAACGAAGGAGAAGGACGATAAGGAAGTTGGCGTATTACGACACTGACGGCCGCAACAACCGCGACTCCTACGACGACGCACACGACTAAGTCCGCGAGACGACGACAGCGACCACGACCGCGATCGCCACCATGACGGCGGCGGTGACCACAACCACCATGCCCACGGTCTCGGCGCGACGACCACTACGACGACGACCACGAGCACCACCACCTCGGCGACCACCGCCACGACCACGACGGCGGCCACGACCACTACCACGACCACGACGGCGGCCACGACGATCACGACAACAACCACCCTCGGCGACGGCGACGTCGCGACGGCGGCCACGACGCTCCGTGTCGACGGCGGCGCGTCGGGAAGCGCAGGGCCCCCCGGGCTCCGCTCCCGGAGTGGGCCGGCCGGCGCCAGGCCCGCGCGCCGCCGTCCGCCCGCCGCTCGTCGTCGCTTGTCGTCGGCGTCGGCGTCGGCTTCGTGTTGGTCGGCCTCGTTTCTGTCGTTGTTTCCATGCTCGGCGTAGTGTTCTTCGGCATCATAAAAGTGTGTCTTCCTTTCCTGGTTCTTGTTTTGGCACTCGTCGTAGCGGTCTCCGTCGTCGTGTCCGTCGTCGTCTTCCTTTCCATCTTGGTCGTCGTCGCCGTCCTCGTGATCGCCGTCTTCGATATGTCGTCGTCCGCCAATGCGGGGTGCGCTGGACAGGATCCGAGGAGGTCTTGTTGTTTTTTGAGCACCTTGCCACCCCCCACCCCCAGCGACTGAACAGGACACGACGGCCGGTATTCTAATGTGGGTTCTCTGAAGCCTCGTCAAAAGGGCGCCCCGCGCCATCCGAACATTCACGTGACGGAGAAGTCATACACCCGGAGGTGCGTAGGACACTGGACTGGAAACATGTTGCTGACTAAAAACTCAAATTCGGACCGGCCGGCGCTAGACGGTCAGCTTTGTTGAGCGTACGAATTGCCGCCAGGAAACTTTATTAGCCAAGAGTGGGTTTAATTTTGACATGCCGCCTGCCGCCGCGCAAACGACTCGTAGCACCTGGGTTGTCCAGTCTGCGCGTGGCCGGCCTACCTTTCTCACGTATCGGTCTGCTGCCGGCCTGAAATTTCCAGGACAGCTCCCTTCTGGTGTCCTGGCGATTTTGCCAAGCAGGAGAAGCTGCTGTCGTGCCACTGTGTCCGTCAGAGGGTGTTGTCTCGTTTTGTCTAAAACTATCACGTTGCGAAGACACCGGCAATGGAAGCCATACAGCCGCCTTCTCTCTGCAGCATTCAGCCACAAAGTCGATAAACCATACGTGAGCTTGCTAAGAACGACGGCGCTGTAGACCTCAATTTTTCTGCGCCTGCTCAAGCCTGAATGTCGCCATATCTTGGACAGCTTGTCAAAGTCGGCGCGCGCCGCGCCCAGGCGGCGACTGAACTCCTTGCCCGCGGCGCCTGTTCCAGAAATCAAAGCACCCAAATAAATCATGTCTTCTTGCGCCCGTATGATATCTCCATTCGAATCCTGAATACTGTTTGCGCATCTGATTTGAAGCAGTTGGAACTTGTCTGGGTGCAGCTCCATGCGATAGGATTTCCCAGAAATCTGAATAGCAGCTAATATGCCTTCCACTGCCCGCTTCGTCCTTCCCAGAATCAGCGTGTCGCCCGCGTACAGCAAAACGGAAAGGGACCCACTGTCCCAGAGTGCTCTGCGTTCTGATGCAAGTTGGGAGACAGCGTCTTCGATGATTACTGTCATGGTCATCGCGAACAAGGAGGGTGATAGAGGGCATCCTTGCGATATCCCGGAGGACTGCGGCCTCGAGGAAGAAGTCGCCCCGCAGTCCTGCACCTCGAAGACTCTGTCGCTGTAAACCGCACTTATGACCTCCAATATGTGCTCGGGCAAGCCGAAGCGTCGCAGACCGCGCAGCATGGCCGAGGGGTTGAAGGAGTCGAAAGTTTTTTGCCAATCCAAGGCCGATGCAGACATACTGCCTGATGATGCACCAAGCTCCAAATCTATACGCCGACGGAGCGCAAAAATCGCCTCTTGTGTCCCATTATTCGATCGAAAACCAAATTGCGATCCCGTCAGCCTGGATTCAGCTCCTGCCTCCACCGAACGTCGGTGCAACAAAGACACGAATACTTGGTACCCAATCGCGAGAAGACTGATTGGTCGATAGTTCGCGCAATCATATGGTTTTCCTTTCTTGTGTATTGCTGATACCCTTGCGTTGTGCCATCCTTGCGGAACCCTTCGCCCTTGCCAACAATGATTCACGAAAGTCGTGATGCATTGTAATGCCTTTGAGTCGTCTGCAAGTGCCTTCCAATATTCTGGTGGGATGCCGTCTGGCCCGGGTGCTTTGCCATCGCGCAGCTTGCGCAAACATGTTCCGACCTCGTCATCCGCGAAATTGGCCAAGTTGACCGGCAACGCAGGTCCAAGGGCGGGTGCGTCGACAGCGTCGGTTGGACGCACGCCCCATTGCACCGTCTCGAGGTATGTTGCCATGGTGTCTGCTCGGTCTTCGCTGCTGACTAATTATCCTTGCAAGTTCCGGAGCCGCCCCTGCTCGGCGGGACGGGGTTTTCGGAATTTCCGGATATCGTTCCAGGAACCAGTCGCCACCAAATCTTCCAGCCATTTGGATTTCTCTTCTTGTGCAGATTTTCGTACAGTTGTGTGCTTCGCTTGCTCCAGAACGGCGTTCCCGTCCACTCGAGCCTGCGCTCTTTCTTGGATGAGCTGCACTGTCCGGCCACTGATCCACGGTCGTCTGGGTTGGGGCGGTTCGTCAGGCAAGACCTCGGATGCAGCCCCGATTCTGGCCGAGATGTTTTGCCAGGCGCCTTGGACCACGTCAGCGGCGCCCACGTCCTCCGAGCAATTCTCCAAAAACGCCGTAACAATTTGTTGTCGTATACCAGATTTTTCCAAACTCCCTCTCTGTTTTCGACTGTGGTGTCTACGTGGTTGAGAATGCTGAATGTCGAGGTCGATCTGACAACATACTAGGAAGTGCCGCGTGGCCAATGCTACTTCTCGGTGGTTTTCAACGGACACCACTCGGTCAAAACTTACGCCCGGCACGAGAAACAAATCGAGCAGAGCAAATCTGTCCAGCAGGATGGCGTCGTTGGGTTTTGTGCCGCTCTCCATGTACGCAATCCGTTGTCCGTCGGGCACATTCTGGAAAGTGTTGCTGATGCTGTACTGCTGCACCGTTTCTTCTCCAAAGTGTACGGCCCAAATGCATGTTCTTCGCCTCGCCGTTGTTGGCCAAGCCGGGCGTTGAAGTCTCCAGCTATATTTCAATCCATTCACCGACATGGTATTGAGCAGCTTTCCCAATTCCTATAAAAGTGTAATCGTTCAGGTAGTGGTCGGAGGTTGTGCGGGGCATAGCCGGTGATCATCGCATGCTTACCCCCGCTTCCCCGGATCTTCAAGCAAGCCAGCCGGTCTGAATATTGCAAGAAGCCACAGATGCACGTTGCCATGTGGGGCGCAATGATAAATCCCACTCCTGATCTAGGTCTGTCTACGCTGTCTGCATTTTCCGAACCTGACAAAATAATACGATACCCGTCGTTTGTGTAGTATTCTGGTTTCGAAGCCCATGTCTCCTGGAGGCAGAGAAAATCAATATTCAAAACACGCATTGCTTCGCAAAGTGTGTAAAGCCTCTCGTCGGTTAAACCGGTGACGTTCCACGTGGCGATTGTGACGTGCCCGCTTTGTGCTCTCAAGGCTCCACGTGGGCGCTGGCATCCCAACGGCGCTGAAAAACGATTGGGTGAAACAGTGTCCTCGCCCTCCGGGCCCCGTCAATTCTTCCCTTTCTTCCCTTTCTTTTTTCCGATGTCAGTGGCACGGGCCAGGGCTTCCTCGCAGGACGTCCGGAGCTCGATGAAAGCCGCATCGTTTTGGAGCTCAGCCCAATTCTCCTGCGCTGGGCCATGCGAGCTTGAGCGCACCTCCCATGGAGCAGACTGATAGGATGTGCTCGCCCCCGGCGTGCATGGTGAGCTTCCCGTCGTCTATCTGAACGCTGTCTTTCTTGAAGCCCCACTGCACCAGAAGCCGCTTCAGGCCGAATAGCATCCGGATCGGGATCCTGATAGAGGCTGGCTTATTTTTATGTGCCCGAATTCTTTTGTTCTTGTAAGAAATTGGTGAAGCTCGTAACATGCGCAGCACTGTCTCTGCATCTGTGTCGCCACTCATCTTTGCAAAAACAATGCCGTTGTAGATGTCACCTTTCATGTAGATGTCACTCGGCGCTGGCATGTTTGACTTTGCCATCTCTTGTTTGAGAAATGCGACTGCCTCTTCTAGTGACCCCAATTCCTCCAAGTTCCCGAAACCAATCGTCTCAGTTGCCTGCTGTGGGGCGTGGCGTAGGTCGGCCAATTGGCGCTCCAAAGCTCCGAGGATTGCTTCAACCTCAGGGCTCAACGAGGTATCTGATGCCGTCCGGGTAGATGCTGGTCGCGAGGGACCATTTTCGATAGGTCCCACTCGCGCTTCCAGATTTTCCAACGAAGCCTTCAGTGGTGACACGGCATCTTGAAGATCACGATGAGAGACTCCGTGTGCCTTGATAGCCGCGATGTCCTTCTAAATCGGCTTCAAGAGCTTCTCGATCGCCTCTAGCGTTGCCGGCGTGCTTGAAGATGCCCCCGCAAGAGCATGTTCGTATTGTTGTTGACGTGTTGCTGGGAGATCTTCGGGAGCCTGTTCTGTATCCTCGCCCATCTCATTCAGCGGGCTGCCAATCCTTATTACCTTTGCTTTGGGCTTGCCTGGAGTTGGGGTCGACGGTGGCGAAGAAGGTGGGAGACGGTCACCGCTGAACAGCTGCCTGACAGGGGTGCTTGGCACGCGCGCGTCCCCACTCGCACCCGAAGAAGACATCGCTGCAGGCATGAGCGGGCGAGAGGGTAGGATGAACGGAATTGTTGAGGAAGGTTGACTTGAGCCAAAATGGTTCAGAATCCGAAGATTGCCTGCGACGAAAAGCAGTCCGAGGATGGGGTCGGGAGGCTAGGGCCCACGTGTTGACGTGAAACAAACATCACGTTGGAGGCCTGGGATCGTCTCACCGGAACGCCCCAACGACCAGACACCGTGGTGACACCAAGTGCAGATCGATGGAACCATGCGTCAGCTGCGGAGGAGGGATGACGAGGAGGAAGAGGAGGAAGTCCTGCACCCCCACCTCACCTCGGACCCCCCGTCTTCCCTCCTCCCTTCTACCTTTCCCCACTCTCCTGCTGTTCCGCCTACTCCCCCTCCATGCTCCTCCTCTTTTCTTGTTCCTGCAATTTGTTTTTCTTTTTCCTCATACTCCTTCTCATTCCCCTTTCACAGCAGGGAATGGGAAAGGAGGAGGAGGAGGAGGAGGAAGA